ACACTGCTCCCAGCGATGCTCCCATCTCTGTAACCCGTCCAAATAGTACTCGGCGTTTTTCTCTGCAAAATAATTGTTCACGAAGGTGATTGCCTCTTCATTTGACGAAAATCTCTGTCCTTCGAGCGCAATTTTTAGATGAGGGAACAAAAATAAGTCACTTGGGGCTAGATCTGGTAAGTAAGGGGGATGGTCAAACAGTTCAAACCGTAATTCGTGGATTTTCGCCATGGCAACCGCTGAGGTGTGAGACGGTGCGTTGTCTTGGTGAAACAGGATTTTCTTTTTCTGCAAATGTGGCCGTTTTTCCACAAGTTCTGCCTTCAGCTCGTTAAGTAATGATGCCTAGTATGCTCCTGTAATGGTTTTTCCTTTTTGAAGATAATCGATTAAAATAACTCCATGACTATCCCAAAAAACAGTCGCCATCACATTCCCAGCCGAAACAACAGTTTTTGCTTTTCTGGAGCCGATTCTCCCTTTGCAGTCCACTGTTTGGACTGTATTTTTGTTTCGGGCGTATAATGGTGTATCCAAGTTTCATCTACAGTAATTAATCGGAGCCAAATTGGCCGTGTGAGCAATTCACGGAATTTTACCAGCGTCGTCAACGATCTCGGCCCGTCTCGATGACAGATTAATATTATGGGAGTATTTATGGGACTATTTTGTAAACATAGGTTAAGCTTAGTGAATGGGGGACTCTCAGATAGGCACTAGCGTAGTACAGACGTATTATCACAGTACACAATATAAGTTACGGATTTATTGCGCCTAAACTGCGCCAACAGAGCGTTGAAAATGTTTTTGGTCTAACGTGAGCAAACGCGTCACCCAACGCGCGGACAGCTTTCTCATGTTTAAATGTTCATTTAATATGTGACAAACACGTTCTTTTGACATGTTCATAACCTCTGCTATCTCTCTCACTTTAACCTGGCGGTCGTCGGCGTCGTGAACTTTGGCGATGTTTTCATCGGTAGTTGCAGTTTTTGGACGTCCCGAACGTTCATCGCCTCCCAAGCTCTTACGGCCACATTTAAATTCAGGCTGCCCAAAATTTCACTGTGATAAATGACGGTGCAGAGTCCCCATACACAGAATCCAACTCATCTTTGATTTGCGTAGGCGTATTGCCTTTCAAAAACAAATATTTAATGAAAGCTCGATACTCGATTTTGTCCATTTTCATAAAAACACTCACATCAACTCACTTAAACGACTGTTGCATAACAACTGCGCGTCCAAAATGGCTGAAACTTTGGTGAGTAACTGTCAACAGATGAACAACGAAATTCACTAGCTTTTATTTACGAGTGCTGCCATCTTCATGTCGAGGTCGGAAACTTTTCAGACCACCCTTGTACATATACTATAAAAAAAAGATGTAGATTTGAGATATTATTTTTACAATATCTCTCTTAATTTGAAAGTTCATCATTTGCAGAACACGCTGTATAGCGTCTAATTAATTTCAACATTGTATATCCTATCCCATTTATGAGTGATTTATTTTTGTACTCAATAATTAGTTAATTAAAAACCAAGTCTGAATGACTCAATAATAGTTCAATTTAAATCATATTAGAGAAAAAGTCAACTCTAAACTGGTTTTATATACTCAGAATAGAGTCACAAGTCACTCAATTGATAGTTAGCAGTAACTTGTATTTGAATAAACCTCACTCATTTCTGATGCAATAGTTTCTCTCAGTTGTACTCATACTAATAGAGTGAAAGTTTCACTCAATCGGGTGTGGACAGAAATTGATACATTATTGAGTAAAATTGAGTGAAATTTGAGTGAATTTTTTTACATTGTACATCCAAATCTTTCTCAAAAGTCAGCAATACAAAAATCGTGCCAGAAATAGATCATTATAATACGAAATTCCTACTTTTCCAATTTTTTTTTAATCTATAAATATAATATCTTGCAGTATTATTCCAAACAGTGGAGTCAAATAATAATTTTATTTATATTTTCATATTTATTAAAAAAAATTTCAAATCCAAAATGTTCATTCATTTTGGAAACGTATGACGCCAATTGCACCAAATTTTGTTTAATAATTTTAACAATTACGTAATCTTAATGAATCTGTTCTTGTTGATGAAAATTATATTTGTTGGATTGATTGAAACATATCAGGTTTTAATAGAGTAAAAATAAAATACATTTCCATGAAGTGTAAAAGTTCAAGACTTTTTATTTTAGGTTGTACCTACAACTTTTCTTTAAAATTTTGTTCACTTTAACTAGTTTAAAACTGCCAGCCAACTCTTAAAAAGAATAAAATGCAATGTAATTGTTTCCTAAACTTTAATTCTTTTTCGGCTGAGGTTAGATTTTTCATACTAACTTTATCCACACGAGAGTTGCTAGTGTCAGTAAAGTTAATTTGCTCTATTTGCAAAAGTAATTTATAAAAGAAGTAGGTACCCTCTATTTAAGTATCATGTTGAACCTCCATTATATTTGTTATGTTCTCAGCGATAATTAGTTCCCATTGACCTAGTTGTTGAGATTAATAAATTTTTCATCATTCCTAACTTTCGTTAATTTTAATCCATCCATTAATTTCAAAAGCAAGGGATGAAACGACATGGTAAAAAGTTTGTCGTCATATTCGTGAGCCACTTTGTCTCATGTTAAAGTGCATCCTTTGGAGTTGAGGAAATTGTTAAAGTTTGTTTAAGACGTGTTTGTTAACTAATGCCATCATCATGAGCGTACAATGTTGGTTGTAATTAATGGTTTGCATCACACTAAGTTGTTCCTTTTGGGAAATATACCTTAAATAGTAAAGGAGTGTATCGCGGACTATAAAAAAAAATTAAAAATTACCGCCATTTTTATAATTGGTTAGTCAATTGCGTAAATAATATAAAAATTAATTAAATGATCGAAGTGTGTTTTTTAGAATAAGCAATATCTTAAATTCTCTTTGTCTTTGAGGATCAGCTTGAGAATTATTTGTTCTTAGCAAAACTGTAAAAAATAGGTTGTACGAAACAGACTGGATTTTAACAGATGAAATTTATATTATTGTAACTTTCCTCTTTTAAAATCTACTCCTTATTGTTTAAGAGCAAATTGTGCTTTTTGATTTAAAATTTTATACGAAATGAAGAAAATCCATTTTAACGAAAGTGCATAAAATGGTTACAAAAGTAGAGTATTTAGCCGGTTCTAACAAGTAAGGTTATCGGAGTGTCGCATTTTGTAAAGGACAAAAAAATACGAGACATGTACATACTACACTGTAAAAAAAAATCACTCAAATTCACTCAATTTCACTCAATAGTATATCAATTTCTATCCACATACGATTGAGTAAAATTTTCACTCTATTAAACAACTAAAATTTTGAGTAAAACTATTGCAACAGAAGAACCATCAAGTGAGTGACTTTTATGTAAAACCAATTAAGAGCTGACTTTTTCTCTCGATTAAAGGAATTGGGCAACTGATCGGACAAAATAATAGATTTTCATAGCCTATATTGTACGTTACAGATACGTAAGTAAGTATAGGTAACAATATAAATATCCGTTTATTTAACCAAATATTAATCGCAACTTATTGTTATTAATTATTGTAAACAAACCACTGCATTTAAACATAATTTTTACCTAAATAACCGTATTAACGGACACATGTCTAGCACTACACGCCATACACCACGCCACGAGATGGCCTAATGGGGACGATGGGAATAGGCAGACAACACAGGACAACCATAAAATGGGGTGGGATCATTCAATAATGAGGACATTTACTTCGATTTAGCTACAAATGTATCAAATACGAGTTTATCTGTAAAATTTATTTAACGGGTATTTGAGTGAAAGTACTCAATTTTAGTTCAAATATTGTCACAAATGAGTAAAATTATCAAAATGCTCAATATTGAGTTAAAATGTACTCAATAATTTTACTCAATGGATTCTCTTGTTACTTCTATTGCTTTCACTGATACCGATTTTTTTACAGTGTGTATTTCTTTTTGTGCCGATAAAAATTTTAAAGGGTAAAAAGCACCCATAAAGTTTTCCTAAAAAACTGTTCTTCCAAGAAATCTCTGTTTCTATACCAAATTCTCTTTTTTCTATCTGTGATCGATATTAGACAATCTCCAATTAGTTTAAAAAAACTGAAACAGAGATTTCTTGAAAAACCTGATTTTTGGGGGTAAACCTTAGGGGTACTTTTTACCTCTTTAAATTGTTTATTGGTAGAAAAGAAAATATACGTGTCTCGTATAATTTTGCTCTCTACAACATAGCGAAGTTTCATTGAAATCGGCTACACAAAAAAAGTCCAAATCCAAGAGAACCACATATCATTCCCAAAGGAATTCGATGCGCTGAACACGACCCTGCAGTCAAAATTCATGACTTTAGGACAAATTTCGGAGAAAAGTTAAATTTTAGGGTGAAACTGGTAAAAATATGGATCAAAACTGATTTTTCCTAAATTTTGTCCAAATATATCAATTTCGTAGTAATTTAAGGCGCTGAACACGATGCCATTAGGAAAATTTATCCGTGACCTCCACATTTCTCAGATAATCCACTATTTGAGTGAAACTAGCCCAAATATGGGTCAAAATGGATTTTTTCCTAAATTGTGTCAAAACATATCATTTTCGTAGTATGTGGAGACGCAGAACACGCTGCCTTTAGTAAAATTTACCCATGACCTTGATATTTCTCAGAAAATCCACTATTTAAGTGAATACTAGCCAAATTTAGGAAGAAATCAGTTTTGGCCCATATTTGGGCCATTTATTCTAGAATAAATTCTAAGATTACTGTTATTTAAACAAGTCTTGTAAGGAGAAACACAGAAATTATGGTAAAATTATGTAAAATATAACACCTTATACATGATCAATCTGAATTGAAATTAATCGAAACTAAAGTCCTAATTTTTCACATTTTCGCGTTCCCAACATTTTATTTATATCTGATTAAGACAAATAATTATAACTCACCATATCACATAGGTCTGTATTCCCCATTCGCCTTCAAAGGTCGCCCAACAGTCAGGTACTCCCTCGCCAGGAACCTCTTGATAGGTAAATATTACCAACTGAAAAAAAATATACATATAATATTTAATAGTCCAATTTGTATGATATCGATCAAGTATAATATAATTATAAAGTCAGATCTTCTAGATGTTGCGCATTTTGTGGTTAGACAAAATACGTGGTTTCAGGTTGATGGTGTGCCACCGCACTAAGGTCAGAATGTTCGAAACTATCTAAAGGAAACGTTTTCTAACAGCTGGATTGGTAGAAGAAAAGGTGCGCTTATTCACTAGCTAAGTCGTTCCCACGACCTCAATCAGATGGACTTGTTTTACTCTGGGTTTATGAAAGGTTCCTTTTTTAAACTTCCAATATTGCATGAACAACATTTACGAATTGTAAAAGGCATAGAGCGCTTCATGCTGAAACCACAGATTTTTCAGCACGTTCCCTCTCATTAAAAGGGAGCGATTATGGATTCGCAAAGAACACCTATTTTATAGTTTTCAGACTTTATGCATATTTATTATCTTACTATTAAATAACTATTTTTTTTTTACTTTTCGTATATCTATCAGTATATTCTTATTTTCGTGAATTTGTCTAATTGTTTCCTTCACACTCTCCCAATAGTACCAATACTTTTAAATTATCCCTAAAGTTAGCTAAATAATGTACGATAACGTTTAACACATCCTTTGCCAGTACTTGTAACCTAATCTAATGCAAACTAAAGATTGTTATAACATTACTAAAAATATCGAAAACCAAATCGCAAATCAAAATTTATTGAAACAGAAAAAATTAAGAAAATTGCCATTTTCACCAATGGAGGCTGGCGCGGAAGGGCTCTGCGGCACCGCCCCCCCCCCCCCTTAGTTTACATCATCTAGATAATTAAATAGTGCAATCACATTAACTCCTGCAAATTTGTAAAGTGTTTACAGCGATGGTCATGGTTACCGACGGAGCAGGAATAACACATATTTACTATGCACTTTGCGCCCAAATAATAGCTTTCATTTCAAAATATCAAACTTTAATGAAAAAGTAAGTAATTGAAAAGATTATTTGGGACAATAGAAGAAAATTGGACTTTCACTGTAAAGAATGATATAGGTTAGCATATTTTCCCGATATTTCAGTGGTACTTAAAATAAATCTACACTATTATATTTGAACTTTTTTTTTTCAATACTCTGTATCTAAATATTTCCGCCCTTGGTATGAAAGTCTACATCCGCCACTAATATTATCTAAAAAAAAAACAGTACCTCTATTCTTCGGCTTGAGCTATAATTTTTTTAACTAGAATTATTCCAAAGTACGACGGTATAAATCTATGCCAAAATTTCAACTCAGGATGTTAGAAAGAAATGGAGTTATTATCAAAAAGCGATTTTAAAATCTTTAGCTTAATGTGCTGTACGTCATTAGCGGGATTCCCAAATTAAAAATGAAAGCCTCATTATTATCATTCAAGTAAACTGTAGTTGACCTACTAATTTGTGACACCTTGTACATGTTCACAAGGCAGTCAAATTACCCACCTTGTGTATCTTATTTTTCGTACCATTTCACTCTAATCGTATCTGCCAGGAACCACCTCACCAGATCGATTACAAATATGAATTTTTTCACACACACGTGGAAACAGCAACCAACACATTAAAAATATCCTTCGAGGCTTGTCGGATTGCGTTTCTGTTGCCGTTGACGAATGTGTTTTCCAGGAATATCTCCATTGCTGTCAGTCATAATAATGCTATATATCAGCCATTGTTAGAACCAAGTGTAACATAAATTATACGCGATTTTATAAATGATTTGGTTGCGTAAATGGCACGGAAGGCTTAAAGGAATGCAGAAACACTTATGTCCCCCAAGAGCGAGCTTTAGTAGAAACGTTTCCTGAATTTATATTAGACCCACATAAATTTTTATTTGTGGACCATCCGCTAAAATAAGTCAAACCGAAAAATTCTATTCAGTAAATTTTCATTTCTAAAACTTGATTTGTAAGTTATTGGAGACCGGGAGTGGTTGTATAATTTTTTCTTTGTAGGAAGAAAGAACTTGTATGTTTAACTAACTACTTTTTGTGTTAATAAGTTTAACTGTAAGTTGCTTCCAAAAAATATATGGGTAATTTTTAAAAAATTCAGTTGATGGTAAAATTAACCTCAACCCTGTGAACAATTTAATACATTCCCGGATAACAATGCATACTTAACGTCTCTCCATTAAAATCAAATTGCTTTTGAAGTCATTTCCTTGACAATCATTGTTTATTTATTGTTGTGATAAAAGCTAAATTCGTTTTAATACCTATAAGTGCTAAAATACAGGGTGCCCCAAAAGTGACGCCCGTCCTTCTGGGATTTGATTAAGGAGACAAAAACAAATCGAAAATCAATAATGGAAAATTTTCTAATTGTTTTTCTTTGTTGAGTTATTCAAAAAATTATTCAAAAAACTAAAAAAGTGAAAATCCAATTTTTTCTTCTCAAAACTGAGGTCTATGCTTATGGGGACCAAGACAAATAATTTATAACCATTAGTAGGTAAGTATAGCTTCCGATAGTCGGTTGTACCTGGGTGTAAGGAATAATTTTAACCAGAAAAGGATAGAGAAAAACATTTTAATAAAACAATTTTATAAAATGGAGAGGAAAAAAAACCATAACGTGCTTAAATAATAGAAATTGTTTTTACAAAAGGTATTCAAATAAGTTGCCTTCTACTCTAAGACAAAGATAGGCACGATTCTACATTGAAGCTTGAACCCTTTGTAGCATCTCTTGGTCTATTAACGCGACAGGAGCGCGTATACAGGCTACTACATTTTCTAGATTTACAACAGGTTCACTGTAAATCTTTTCTTTTAAATAACCCCAAAAAAAATCTAGGGGATTCAGATCTGGTAACCTAGGAGGCCATGCTATGGGTCCACCTCTTCTAATCCATCTGCCTGGGAAGTTTTGATTCAGATAATCTCATAGTCGCAAACCATAATGTGATGGAGCTCCATCATGTTGAAATCAATAATTTAGTCTAACTACTAACGGAACGTCATCCAACAATGGCAATGGTATGTTTTCATTTAAAAACATACAGTTGCAGTAAATATCGCTCTAAACTACATAATTATTTAATAACCCAGCTCAAATGTTTATTTCTATTTTTTTTTAATATATTTTTTAATAACTCAACAAAGAAAAACAATCTTGAAATTTTCTATTCTTGATTTTCGATTTATTTTTGTCCCTTTAATCAAAGGCCAGAAGGACGGGCGTCACTTTTGGGACACCCTGTATATTAAAAAATATTTAAAATGGGCAGTGGTGATGATGTGTCTGGGACACCACCAGTGTTGGTAGTAAAAAATGTGACTTTAAATTTATTACCAAACAAATCTAGCGAAAAGTACCAATTCATTTACAAACGTTTCAAGACTTTTGTTGTCTTGAAAAAAATACGACCTCCAGATCCGAAAATGTTGTGATTGTATACTTTTCCGATTTATCTACAAAGCTGAAGGCAGCTAGCTATGTTATGGTTAAATTATTCCATATTAAGAGCAACACATAGTACAAAGGAAGACACTGATACATATATCAAAATATTTGAAATTAAGTGTTTTCCTGAAACGTCAAGATGATAACTATAAACCAAAGAAGTCAAAAGTTGTGTCAAACTTCAAACGTTTATTGCTCATGCACTAGATAATATTATTGTTAATGAATAAGGTACGTTTATATGTGAAAATTTTAAAATATTTAGATATTGTTTTTTTTAAAGGTTGCTTTAATATTTGGTGTTGCTGATGCTTGTTGTGGTGATTAACTATATCAATTAAACTTGAATGATATAGATGATTTAAGATCAAAGCTGTACTGGGTAATAAAACGAAAACCTCATAATTTGTGATAAACGAAACTTACATGCCACTGTATAGAAATTATGATGCATGCCGCCCAGAATATTTTGAAAGTTGCCTCTTTTTATTCAAATACTCAAATGAGCAATGTTGCAGGCAAATAGTAGGAATACATCAGTTTGGTAAAATGCCTCAAATTGTCGTAAAATTTTTAAATTTGCCAAAAGCGGATTGTTTCCGTCGATCCCTTGCTACCATTTTGGTTAAGTTGGGACAGATTTAATTGCATTAAAGAGAAAGGGTTGCTGAAGGATATATATAATTATTCTAAATAAACTGGACAGAGAAGACAAAATATTTAGAGGAAGATACAAAGAGAAATTTGTCAATAGAAATTATATTGTCGAAGAAGAAATAATTAACAGAATTTTCTCGAAAATATTTTAAACTTCAGTTCATTATTTGTTATTAGAATATAATAAAATAGAAATAGGTGATATACAATAGGAAAGCTGAAATAATGAAGTCTAAGAGTAACAAAATTTTGTTGAAAAATAGGTGGTGACTAACTCTTTATCACGCCAGACGGCCAGGCGTGTCTTTAACCGAGCTGTCAGGGAAGGGGAAGGGACCTCTTGGGACGATTACAAAACTGCAAGGAGAGAGTTTAAGAAGGAACCTAGGCGTAGCAAGAGATCTGGCTGGAAGGCATACTGCAGCGATCTGGAGTCCCTGCCGGAAACAGCCAGATTAATGAAGATCTTAAGCTGCGACAAAAGGGAGAAATTAGAGTCATTAAAGAGGGAAGATGGACCACTTCCAGCGAGGAGTGCTTAAAACTTCTGCTGGAAAGTCACTTTGCAGGTGGAGGCCATGTCGTTGAGGGTACTGGGCGGAGCCGATGCCACAAGCAGATTGGCTCCTGGCCAAGAAGCTCATTGGCGACGAGGCAGTAACCTGGGCAGTGAATGAGTTCGAACCCTACAAGGCAGTGGGGCCGGACGGAGTATTCCCGTCGTTGTTGCAGAGGGGCCTGGATATTCTCTTGCCATGTATGGTGAGGGTCTTCCGGGCCAGTCTGGCGATGGGCTACGACCCACAGGCTTGGAGGTCAGCCAAGGTGGTCTTCATACCCAAGGCTGGGAAAGAAGACTACACTTCCATGAAGTCTTTTAGGCCTATTAGTCTCACATCCTTTCTGTTTAAAACGATGTGGAAACGGATTGTGGAAAGGTATCTGGTGGATGGGGTGTTGAGTATATACCCAATCCACACGAACCAGCACGCATATAGGCGGGGCAGGTTCACAGAGACGGCCTTACATAGTGTCACGCATAAAGTAGAGAAGGCCTTTCAGTACAAAGAGGTCGTACTGGCAATATTCTTTGATATAGAAGGTGCCTTCGACAAGGAAAAAACTGAGACCATATGCAACTCGCTCCAAGACACATCGCCTATCGTGGTCGAATGGGTGAGTTCGGCATTGAAGGAAAGGAAGGTTAGTGCAGCCATGGGGGACTGTCGTAGGGACCTGGGAGTGGGAGGGTATGCCCTCAAGGCAGCTGCCTCTCCCCGCTTCTATGGTGCCTAGTAATGGACGGTCTCCTGGAACGCCTACCTCGGAGGGATACAGTGATGCCCATGCTTACGCCGATAATGGCGTGGTTCTAGTCGAGGGCCGGTTTTTGGACGTGGTATGCGACAGAATGTAGGGAGCCTGTAGGATCATAGAGAGGTGGTGTGAGGAGATGTCAGTCAACTCAAAGAAGACGGAGATGATCCTACTTACAAGGAGAAGGAAGATTGGTGACTTCAGGGCTCCAACCATGTATGGGAGGCCCCTGACTTTGGACAGGGAAGTCAAATACTTGGGGGTAATCCTGGACAGCAAACTGTCATGGGGACCATAAGTTAAGAGGATTATCCGGAAGTCAGTGGCAGCCCTCTAGCAGTTAAGGAAGATAGTTGGCAAAAACTGAGGACTTAATCCAAGGGTGCTTCACTGGGTGTACACGGCGATGGTCAGGCCGAGGCTACAGTTTGGGGCCTTGGTCTGGTGGCCGTGTGTGGACCGGAT